AGTATAATATTTCGTTTCGGTTGGTACCAAAACTGTATCTATGGCCTTTTGAATGCTTTAGGATCGGTCCGTATCATATAGTCGCAAAATGATTGGTAGACATCGACATCGACTTCGGAGATCAGCAGAGACGCGACTAAGGAAATTTCGGATTGTAGTTCGCATTCGCTTCTGCGACAATGGTATATCGATTCACGCTTGTCGGTAGTATTTGTAGTGATGTGTCATACGCAAGAACAAGTTGTACAAGTAACTTCTTCTTTCTTTCCACGTGTGGTAGATGGTATAGAGTAACCTCTAATAAGAGAGGTAACAAGGCTGTGGCGTTGCGCCCAAGAATTGCTTTCCCGCGCCAAAATAAAGGTTGGTCCATATTTCCAATCCTTATCCTATTTTAACTTTATTTTTCCTCCTTTACTTCCCCCCTGAAATCAGCTGTCAGCGGCCCAATAGCAATGTTACAAACACTAATTCCACAACTAGGGCCGGTCTTTTGTTGGAAATCAGTGTTACTATGACTGGAATTGACCACCTGGTACCGGCTGGCTCCAATAAGTATATGAAAGCCTGTTGTTGCGGTTGTCGTCAGGGTCTTCAAATAGGGGGTTAAAATCAGGATGCATCGTCGTAGGCAGTCCTTGGCCCCCCTGTACGTTAATAGGTGCTTGGTGGCCTTGGTATAGCCCTGTCACGCTCTCAAGGGCGTACATATTATGGTGGCCGGCCTGACTGTACTGGGGAACGTTAGACCCGAAAGAGAATTCGTGGCTTGCGCTATTCGTCGGCAATACCATCGATTGCATTGTGTTCGACGCTAACATCATGCTCTCGTGACTAGGATCGGGGGGTGTCATCGGCTCGTCTCTTGTGTGGGTGGGAAGAGAATACTGCATTCCCTCGTAGACGACATTTTGCATTTGTCCCTGAAGGTTGCTAGTACTGCTGCTTGGTGTGAATATAGGGCCCGGGTTTTGTCGGCCTAGAATCGCTCTCTTGCTTGCTGCCGCCTTCTTCCCGCCCTTGCGGCCGGACATGGCGCGCGCTGAAGCATGGGCGTTCGTCCGTGAGGCGTTTCTGGATTTGGCGCGGCGATTAGAAGTTCCCTTACTGCGGTAGCGCGTTGTACTCTGTACGCCATTTACAGCCCATTCCTCTAGAACCCATTGGGATATCTTTTTTGCCTCTCCCGACCCGTTTAGAGGGTCATCGGAACTCGCTTTTCGTTCGCGTCTGACAAAAGCCTTTTTTTGTTGGGAAGGATTAGTTAGTCGTAAATCCAGTCAACAATTAAAAATCCCATAAAGATTGTCACCAAAAGCAGGAGTATGCTTAGGTAGGTGCGTGCTGTTATAGTATCATGCGTGGAAATTGGGGCGAACTTACATGGTTCATGCTGAGATTATGCCGGATACTATTTTGCCATCCATTGCGTTTGTTCCCCTTGTCTGTCTTTTCCTTGTCCGTATTCTCACGGAACCATTGATAGATCTCCTGTAGCGTCATTGCGCGTGTGCGCCGGCTCATAAACGCTTGATGGATTAGTTGCGCGTAAGGGCCATCTGCCTTCTCTGACTCTTGCTCGTTCTCCTCCACCCCCTGACCTACTTCTTGTGAAGTTTCATCTTGACTATAGGAGCTGTACGATGTGTCTAGTCCTTGTTCTGCCTGAGGTGATTCACTTTGGACCATAACAGCCGAGTTGGGCTCTTGGTGGCTGCCGGTAATAGATGGTACCTCGGGTTGTGTCATATTACTTGTAGCTAGGTCGACTGGAGGAAAGTTGGGATTCTCATACGCTGACGTAGCCATCTGTGGATGCAACTGTTGCTCATGCTGCAACTGGGAGCAGCCTCTGAAGTTGTAAGCGGACATTTGATCTGATTCTTTAAGAAATGTCTGGTGGATATTAATGTGCTGGGCTTCTTGGGGCGACCAGCTCCTTGGACTAGCAACTGAAGGGTGTCCTGAGCAAGGCGCAAGTGGCTGAATACCGCGAGCACCACTCGTGGGTGAACCTTGGTAGGAATAGTTATCGAACTCCTCTTCACAAGTAGTAGAAGGTGGCGTTGGCCATACACCCTGCGGTGAGGAACTAGCTGAGTGGATCTGAGAGTGCTGGTAGGCCGGAATTGACGTATTGATTGTCATGGGGAATAAAGCTGAAGATGGGGCTTGCGGTTGGGCGTGGTGGCCTACTTCCGCAACCTGTGGAGCCGGAGAGGGAATATAGTAGGAGTCTGCACTGGGAAGATCCGCCGAGTTACCGGTTGATTGTGTTGCGCAGTTTCGTCTTTGATTAGTTGCTGGATTGCAAGACGGTAAGCAGTTGACGGGCAAGCCGTCAGGGAATCTTTGTTGCATTCCGGCGAGTCCAAGACGCTGTCGACTAAGAAAGTCAGGCTTGGCTCACGACGCCGCGATCACCAACGAAGCGAGAAACAAACCAAAGTAGAAGACGTTGAAGACGCGAATATTGGTCGAAGGTAAGTATGCTTTCCAAATGGATTACAAACTTGAGTAGAGATGATATGAAAAGGATAATGGGTAGGAGGTAAGAGAAGGAAACTCGGGTATATGTGAGGAGGTAGAAGAGGTACGCAGATAGATATGTGTTTAAGTGCGTACTTTGGGAGGTATGTAAGTATGCGTATAGGTAAAGTCTAAGGTTGTTGTTGAATTTTCCGGCTATGCAGACGAGTTGAAGGAATGATGTATGGATGTTGTATGGAGGTTGTATGGAGTATGGAACTCAATGCCGTGCAAGACGAATGGGCACCTTGAAAGCCAATGTAGGTACATAGGTCCGTACTAGATGCAGAGAGAATGGATAGAACCTTGTACAGTACGTAGAGGTACGTAAATGGGTACGGCTGGTACGGCTGGTACGGTACTAGGATGGAAGGAGGGTGGACTGGGGTAGGAAATCGTACTCTCATCAACATGAGATTAAGAATTATGTACTTAATGACGGACCCATATGGAATCCTAGTAGCTACAGATAATCCAGTAGATCCCAGGCGGTGGCACCTGGCTGGTTACCTAGGACATGTACTCTGGTACCTACTGGATGTATGCAAAGTTGGTACTTGCATCCGTACATGCCTAGACAAGATGTAGAGACGATGTAGAGATGATTGGGAAAGCCCTAGTCGTCCCCTCTAATCTAGGAAAAAGGGGGTACGTACCTATTACTAGCTCGTCGACAAGGAAGCTGGGAAGGAGAGAAGCTGCTCACAAGACCCTAGTTCAAAGTTGAGTTGGCCAATGCAAAAAGGATCAGTGACGTGGGTGGGTCCCTAACGGTGTAAACTGCTCTCTGTCTTCCTGTCAAATGAGCCTTAAATAAATTTCTGGATAAAAGTCTGCGGAGCTAGAACCAGCTGGGTAGTTGGGCAAAGATTTTGAGTAGACCGAAATGGGGCGCCGGTCAAGGCAACTTTGCACTCCCACAACACCGGGCTATTGTGGCTAGGTATTCTGGTATTATTGTAAGCCAGACGATGACAACATAGGCTATTGAAGATGTTCTCAACCGATCTGATCTGTAACCTGCCAACGCACCGGCTACTCTCTTCGCCGGTAAACCCTTCTCCGGATTTCTAGAAATTCTTGATTGATGTTTATTATTATTATTTTTTCTTCTCCTTCGTCTCGCCTACATCAGTTAATTACAGTTTAGCTTGGTCGGAGACTTAAAGAGCTTTGTGGTATGTAAGTGCTGTCTGGATGTATCCCAAATATCTCTCTATATCGTACAATCGTGTATTCGTATATTATATATGCGTATCTAGTATGCGTCAGCACATGTGTGCGTACTATGTATGCATGTGTGCTTCCTTTACATATAACTACATACATTTGCATGCATACGGCGTGTTTATCCTTGTGCAAACGGAATTGTGTTTCGTGTGTCTAATATAGAGGTCGTCCAGGGCGTGGCTATCGGGGATTTGTTGCGCGTCAGGGGTATCAGCCAGTTAAACAAGCTATGACACATCTATAATAGATATTATTTTAAACCAATTACTATTCGCAACGACTAACTTAACGGAACATAGACGAAGATAAAAAATTTAAGAATAACTTTAATAATAATGATGAGTAGTAAGAAAAATGAAAAGTGAAAAGAGAAAAAAACAACCCTTCTAAATTAATCGACTTCTAAATAATGGTATTGTGAGGTAGGTGGCAACGCAAGCCGTCATGAAGACACTGTGCGCAGAATAGCAGCGGGATTAGGGCTCTCTTCCCGTGCCCGGATACTTGCATCGTGAGTAAATATTAGTAGATTCGCCAAATAGAACCAATCATTAATTGAATCTCGCTGTCTCCGGCGGGATCGCCTTTTACAGCCTTACTAAAAAGATCCTGAAACTGTCTTGAATAAGAGCCCCCCCTAGCCATTTCTGCCGCATGCAAGTCATCGCAACGACCCCTTCTAGAATTTCGATCGAAGCTTTTAATTTACAAGGGTTCCTAGATCGTTCGCTCATAAAAACATACAAGAGTGTCTCGGGCTGTAAAGACCATGGCCAAGCCCGCGAGGAGCCTTTCAAATTAATCCCACACTTTCACTTATAATTCACCACGCGTTCACTCTAAATTTAGCAGACAGTGGAACCCTCACGGGGATAAACATTAACTTCACAGCAGGCCAAAGCTCCGTCTCTGTACCGTTAACATGTCTATGACAACCCCCCCCTAAATAGGATTCCTCCTTTCCAACTGTAGTTCCTTATAACGCAACCAGGTTAGGGAGTTAAGGTAGCTCTCCGTTCCCTGTGCTACAGAAACTAAGGTGATTTGCACTTCTCCGATGCATTTCCACGACGGAATGATATTTGCGAATTATTTTCCAATGCCATTCCCATATAATACCCAAATATCGTCACATGATATTGGGTTAGGCGATTGACACAAACCCACGCTGTATAGTGGCCTAAATGAATAGAATCGCTTGCGTTTGCCATTGAGAACCTATTGACAAATGGTGGCTGGGTTTACTTCCGATAGTAGATCTATGTGACATATCAGTATTTATCAGGATCTGATCAAGTATAAAGGTACGTACCTTCTTGAACTGGAAATGAAGTTGAAGAATTCCCTAGATGCAATATATTAGATACGGTCTAGTTCGACAACAGCATGGGATGGAAATGTGCATGAGCCGAGGAGAAGTAATTCGAAACATGCGCGCCATGCGGCAATGCTAGGTGTGGCTTGATATAGGCAAATTAAAGGCTGTCAAATAGAACCCGAAAGTACCTAAAGCCAGCGTTTGCCACCCCTAACAAGTCCGGCTACCACAATTCGGTGCTTTCTAGACATGTGATATAGAGACATAGCACTACAAGCTTACCTACTGCGTAGGCAATTCAAAAAGAAGTGTGACATAACATACCTTGTCAAAACTGCTCTTAAAGCCGCGATCCTTTTTTGCGCTATAATCCCATTCCCGATCAACGATGCGAAAGGCAATATCTTCATACGGTGGCCCAGCAATGAAACGAATCAAGCAGGTATCCTCCTCCCCTGCCGGCGCAAAAGATTCGCCTCTTCTCCTTCCGTGCTCACGAATGATCTTGAATGTGGGTGCTTTCGTCTTGTCGATGAGATCGGGATAGAATATGTTGAATTTGTATCCTTGAACCACCTTTGGAGGTGGGTTATCGTGGTCGTAGTGCGTCTGATTATACTTGTTCCACTCATATCCCATCTGCACTCGATTGAAATACCGCGGTTTACGAGGCCTGTATTTATCTGCCCACTGCGGCTTCGTACCACTCGGAACTGTCTCTTCAGCTGTGAATATCTCCTCATTCTCGCTAATCCCTCGAGCAACTTCTCGTTCATACAGAGCCTTGGTAGCTTGAGAGAAATCTTCATTTTCGCTCGTCGCAAATCTGGCAGTACCGGGAGGTGGTGCGCTGGTCGGGTTACTGGCCGCCGAGACAAAAGCCGTATTAGGTTTTGACTTCGGAGCAGAAGTCGTCGCTGTTTCCTTTGGTCCAGTATGAACGGTACTCCCAGATGATTGGGATTCGGCAAGCTCTTTGGCTTTTTCAGGATCCTGGTCCCCTAATAACTTTATCCTACTTTGTCTGATTTCCTCGCAGATGTTCTTAAGCTTAGCTTTTGCTTTAAAAATTTGCAAGCTCTTGAGTAGTTGTTCCCAGTAATCAGTGTCCATAACCTCGTTGGAACGCAGCTTGGTCTGTATCTGGCCTTCTAGCTTCTCTAACTGCTCGAGATTCTTGGGGCCAAGTATTTTGTCCACGTCGGCGCTGACAGAATTGACAACACGTTCCTCAGGACCCATGGGTTGAAGTCGCTGTCTTCTATCGGTGCAAAGTGTCTGCAGTGCCTTCCAGTATTCTTGATTCCTTTTATTCGTTTCAAGAGTCAGGTACGGAGTAATGTCAGCATCGAGTTCGTCAAGCGCAGACTCCTTCAGCCCTTCTATAACGGTACCAGGAGGAGGCACATCAATATCAGCGTCGGCATCATCGTCGTCGAAGACGTCGCGGTCCGTGTCGATATATCGTAGATTGAATGCAAGGAGATCGATAGGTTTTGCTCGTCCTTCCCTAACACGGATATCCGCCTTCTTCTTGGCCTGCTTTAAAACGAATTTGTCCTCATCTGCGACAAATTGTTGAGACTGTTCATCTTGACTGAGCCAGTTTTGGGTGGTAGAATTCGTCGGTTTGTTCTGGGTCGGTCGCGATGACTTGGTGATTCTATTATTGAGATCTCGTCTAGGAGATGTGATATCGCGGCGAGGGGGTGACTTACGGCCATAAATCATAGCACGTCGTCCGGGATCCATCTTTCCAACTTTAAGAATCTGATCTGTTGGACTATGCGGGGGGTTCGTGTGGAATAGAATATGGATGATGGATATTTTTTGTTGTACCTTTTTTTACTTCAATGTTGTAAGACTGCACGTTCGCATCTGTCATCAGCATCACGCTTTAGTTGCTCGGCGATGAATCCACAAGTCCCCACCAGGCCCGTTCTTATCTGTTTATATCGTTTATATCTGCTTATCAGCCGATGAGCTTAGATCTACTTACGTAAGTCACTATTATCAACGTACCTTACGTAAGCTTCTTAACGTAGTATTGAGTACAATTTCTGACGATCGATGTCATTGAACTAACAACATCACTTTATGACTTTACCAATATCCTAATTCCACTTAGATTTCCATAGACAGAAAATTCAAAGTTTCATTCATGGTTACAATATAATATTTTTATGAATTTGTATGCATCTAATAAGTGTACCAGGGCTATCTACCTAAAGGTCCATGTATCTCTTCACACTTCGTCACTCGAAGGACATCTATGGCGTGTGGGACGACTGGAGTACTAAATCAGAGACAGCACGCCGCCTCATGACAAGGTAAAGCACATGTAAGCATTCATAAATGCGTAACATATACCTATCCAGACTCCGTGAATAGTAGGCCACAGACCTAAGCCCCTTTACACCAACATGATATCAAAATGACACCCTGTTTTATTCTTCCTCATAGAATAATACGTCGCGGTATCCTAGATAAGCCATGAGTAATAACGCGGCGATGCAGAAAGTTCGCACCTATATTTTGTCAGTATGGTAACGAATTAAGGGGGTTATTCGAGTCTTACGAAATATATATTATAATCCATCGTTCTTGTTGGCTCCTCTTGGGGCCCTTTCCGGGGTGCTCTTCGGCGCTCCTCCTCGTCCTGATTACTCGGCAAGGCCTTCTTAATGTTCTTCTGGTTGGCCTGTACAAGCTGGGCGTGGTCATTCTGTAGGAGCTCAAGGCGCACCTGAAGCAGTGACGCAACTCGTACCGACTCTTCCATCTGCCCCTTTATAGCGACAATGTGCTTATTCACAGCCCCCATGTTATCACTGACAATACCGAGATTTTTGTCCTGGATATAGGAACGAATGTTCTCAAGCTGTTCACAGTGGGCCCCCAGACACTTCTGAGTAGCGGTGATAAACTTTACGAGGACTTCGATAGTTTCTATCCCATCGCCGTCAGAAAACCGGACATGACGGCTCTTGCGATGGTAGCAGCGCAGTCGGTCTTGGATATCCGCTAGTGCCTCCTGAACACGGCAAACACCTATTAGCAAGTGGACATAGAAGTACGAAAGGTTACTAGAACATGAAGTCTTAAGCTGGCCCCTGTAAAATGTAAACGTATATAACTTACACTGATCGAAGCAATACTCTCGAGGTCTACATCGTTGTTAGACGAGGTGGAGATATGTCCCGACGTTCCCTAGGAACAGGATTAGTTAAACTAGATACCCTTCAGAAGCAAATGTACATTGCAAGCCAACTTACAGTTTTCTTTGTCATGGAAGACATGTTATTTTAGATGCCGCGTGTGGGCAATACCCAGGCTTGCAACAGGGGATGCAAAGTTCTTCTTAGTGGTTAATTTAAGAAGTTCCTTTATCCGTTTATTTATGTTTGTTAAGTAAAGTTTAGGTTTCTGTTTATAAAAACAAAGGGGAAAAAGAAGGCATAGCTGGAAATGCATAGGTATTCTTTTAATACCCCCAAGCATATCTTCATGGTGGCACCTGCCAAATGATGTGTTGCTTTGAGGTCTGTGCTTCTTAAGTTCGTGAGTTGTAAATCTGTGAGTTTCTGCGTATGTACCTGAGGTACCTAAGTTGGTAGGTGGATACGTACCTAATGGCTGTACTTTTGCTTACCATTGTTGACCTTTTACGCGTTAGATAACTTCGTAGTTACGTACGTGACGACGGTAACCCTCTTAAAATTTATATCATTGCTAGGACAGCCCTCCATGATTCAACCACTCGTTTTTTGCCTTTCGTGGAGATCCGTACCGTATGGCTCATTCCAAGGTCTCCCCTTTTTATCTATCTTTATACCTAGATCATATAAAAGGAAGGGGGGTAGACCTAGCATCCTAGGTTTATTCATAAATTCGACTTAGGAGCCAGAATACCTGTAATTTGGATATCGTATCAAGTAAACAGAAGATATTATTCAAGATTATACAGACAAGATACCGTTACGATACCATGCTGTATCAAATGTTGATATAATTCGCGAACTACTAAGACAAATCACTATATTCGTTGCCAGAATATTATTAGCCTGTAAGGACAGGACACATTACATAACCGAGACCACATATCGGTGGTGCTGCAGTAGCATTTTATCAGTGAAAGGCCTCAATTCTTGAAAACTCTATCTCAAAGATATTCTCCTTGGCCTAATCCTCGGGATATACACCCAGTAGCGGATCCCTCGTTATGCCAATTAAAAGATTCTCCAGAGAAGAGCATAAGGCGAAGTGAAAAGGAGGAGCAGGAGGATGGCGGGAATCACCATAGTCACGATTGCTTTAAATTGTTCCTGAGATTAATTAGCTTATATTCTTGGAGATAACCGTTGTCATTACTCACATCTCTGGCGGGGCGTAGAATGATCATGGGTCCATCGTAATCCTTTCCTGGGCGAAGGTTGAAGCAGACCGTGTCCTCCGCCACAATCCCACGGACCTCTTTGCAAATCTCAATGATCTCCTTTAGTTTCATACCAATTTCCATATTCATTTCTTTATTTAGAATCTCCTCAACTTCCGCGAGGCTTCGGTCAAGGCTCTGAATGGCACGATAGTTTGAAACCTGGTGTAGGGAGTATTCCTCCATCTACAGGTTCGAACATCCATCAGTAACGAATCCATTAAATCCAGTCTGAAATATTGGAATGCGCTTGACGCTGAGGGGGGCGGCACGTTACGGTGCAGAGCGTAAATGAGTTGAATGAGGACTTACTGTAAGGAGTGGATCACCGGAGACCTGGATATAGTCCACATCGCCAATGCGGTAGAGACGAGGCTTCAAGTACGACATCAAGTACGACATCTAATTGTATAGTACGGTTAATACAGTACCTAGGTATAAAGGATAAATTCAAAGGGAGACGGTGGTATTACATACCTTGGTCGGTCTCAGCAGAGCGGCCTAATGTGGAAAGATATCGACTGAAGAAGGCTAGAAAGAAATATGAGTGGTCAGATTGAATAAGGCGAGGTTGAGGAGTTAAGGAATAAGTGTGGAAGGAGATAAATAAAGTTCCGTATAGGAAAGAAGGCTGTGGATAGGACCTAAGGTATGAATCGTTGATGAAAAGGGTTTTTGAGGTCCGCGTAAATAGAAGATAAAATTTGGGCGAGGTTGTTATGTACGGAATTAAGAAGTTGTAGGAGCGTTAAGTCAAGAAGGCACGGGTTGATTGGAATGTTGATACCCGATGTCGACGCGTGGTTTGTTGATAGGGAAATAAGAAGACTTACGATACGTAGTATAGATATCGATGTGGAAGAGCTTTCTGATATTTGAGCTGCCTAGAAGAATTCAAGGATTCTTAGAGGGGAATTCCTGATTGGTCTTGGGAAGAAACAGGAATTTTAAAAGATAAGGTGGACTCGGGTTTTAAAATCGAAGTTCGAATCAGGGTACGGACTGAGGTACGAAAAAAAAAACCTGAGTCACTGATTAATCCAGTGAGGTCTGTCACTAGGTAGGCAGGTGGGAAGACAAGGCGTGTAGTAAGTACCTAACCTTACATCCCTTTTATTTCTTGAACCGTGACTCAGGCAGTTGGCCAATTGTACAATGACTGACGTGCCTCTAAGAACACTCTCACCTAGCAACCACCCTCTGGGAGTTGGTGTAAAGCTAGCAGTTGTATCCTTTAGGAACATCGGCCTCAAAATATACAATAAACATGAAAAATCAAGAAGTACGTCACAGCCCGACTTTGATATCTAACTCGATGATAAGATTTAATCCTGTTAGAAAGACAAGGTCTGCATGTAAAGAGCGGTATCCAAAAATGAAGGTATTTCCAAAGATAATATATTTAATATTATATAAAGAAAGATTAATTATGTAACCAATTACCTTATAAAAATATATAAATATTAATTAAAATTAATAAGCTTTATTATTATACCGGATAATTTTACATATAAGTTAATTAATAAGGATTATTTATTAATAATATTTTAATATTAATAATTTTTTTTTTTAATTAATAAAGTTATTATTAATCTTTTTATTATTTAAATATATATTATATATATAAATATCGTATGTTATTTATATATTTTACTTTTAAATTTTTATTTATATATATATTTTTTTTTTTTTTTAACCTATTTTTATAATTATATTATAAAATTATTTATATTAATAAAAGTTTATAAACTTTTATTTAAAAAAGCTTTTATTATTATATTAATAAAATTATTTTTATTATATATTTAATAAATTTTATTAATTTTTTAATATTTATAAAATTACTGTAATATTATAATATTTATTATTAAATATTTCTTTTTTATTATTTTTAATTTTATAAAATATTTATAAAATAAAAAAAAATTTATATAAATTATTATAAAAATTTTAAATAAATTTAATTTTTTAAAAA